AATAATTATCATATGATTATACGCGTATATAAAAGAACATGTTGCATGCTGGAAAATCGATACGACATTTCGTACGTTCCGCTGTAACCATTATAAAGCCGCATGCTTCTCGAGGCAGTAACCACTTGCGACGCACTCCCGAAAATCCTTTAAACGTTCATCCCTTTAAGCTGCAGTATGCTGTGAGCCGATAAGCTAAAGCACGATGCACCTTCTCTACGACTCCTCTATTGCTCGATTGATCTGCAAGCCGCATAATTCTGTGAGACGAAATTCACAAAGAAACCACTTTATTTGTACTTTCGTGACATGAAAATCATTCATGACGTTTAGCACCGTCGTTGAATTACACGAAAGATTGCATTTACAGTACTAAAAAAAATTTACAAGACAAAATAAGAGAATAAAGAAACTTAGGGAAACGGAGTTAAGTAAAACTAAATAAAAGAGGCAGACAGTTACATCTAGCATGATTGAAACGAACGATATTATTCGCGCGTGAAAAATTGTTCCGTGTAGAAGCACGAACTGTCACTAAGCAAGCGCGGCACGATGGATTTCTCAACGCTGGAGGAGTTAATCGCTCACTTGCCAGAGGAAATCGCGAGGATTTCCGGTCGCGCGCGGTCGGTCTGTGCCGACCTTTTTATCCATTCATTCCGCCCTGTAAGAATAACGAGGCCTGGAGCACGCCAGTAAAAAGTGATTACCCTCCGAGCAAGCATCATCCGCAGTTATCAATTTTCTTCCCCCTCGCGACTCGCGATCTGACGGAAGCAATATCCTCGTAGATTTCTTAATCTCACGACCTCTCTCCCGTCTCGTTCTTCGCCTCTGCCAACATCCGGGCGTCGGGCGACAGTGATAGACCACGTCGAGTTAAATCGAGGAAGGCGAAAGTCGTCTCTCAGCGCCAGCTGGACGCTCGATCGACGTGACTGTCGTAATCGCGACTCGCAATTATCAGATCCAATTTGTCGTCGAACGGAGAAAGAATAGCGCGCCGAAGGCGATCGAAGTGAAAGAGGATCGAAACGGTCGAAGAAATAGTTTGCCGTCCAACCCCCATTCCGAGTATTAACTTCCCTGCAACTAGCAGTGGCAATTACTTTGCGTTCGGTCGATACCGCGATCTCGAATGCCACCATTTCGCGGGGGAGAGGGTAGGGGAACGAGGAGATGGAGAAACGCGGCCGTCGCCTCGGTATTTCCACGCGGTATTTCCAGCATGCGTCCGGGCGAAACGTTTCCTTCGAGTCTCTTTGGGAAATGGAAGGAGGATGAGGGTGAACGGGAATGGCAGAGGGGGTGCCGAACGATTTGCAGACGCAATTTGTCCGCAGCGCGAAATCATGCGGCCGGGTTCCCAGGCTCAGGTTCCCTGCCGAGTAGTTCGCGTCGATCCCGATTCTCGAGGCGATGGAAACGCTTAATAATCCTGCGCAAGATAGCCCCCGAACACGATGAAGGGACGTCAAGGAGGAAACGTACGTCGGACTGCCTAATCGTGAATACGGAGATACCGACTAGCATCGTTGTAGAAAGGTGCAGCTATCATTCTTGCAAAATTTCGCAATGTATTCGATTGTGAACAATATACGTGAATATGTCAACCGATAGTAAACCCTTCAAAGAGAATATTCGATAATCACACGAACGTGTTACTTAAAAAAAAATATATATAATAATGTTTAATTATTAATTACACATGTACGAACTTAACAAACGGAAACATTATTGATGCATTACTGGCGTATGTTTATTTTATTATAATTATTTTAATTATACGAAATGTACGTAAAACATCTTAATTAATTTTTAATCACGCTGAAAGCTGAAATTGAAATTTTTGATCGGAATACGCTTTAAACATTATGTTTGCGATGCGTACTTTGTTAATTTGTTTTGTTGTATTTGCACAAATGATTGCAAATCAGAAAGAGCCCTGGATTGATTAAATTTAATCAAAAATTAATTGTCTTTTCATTTGTGCTTCCAATTTCTATATATCAAATGAATCAACTCCCGATAAAAGAAATGTAGTGAATATACAGCAAACATCTCATTTCATTGAACAGGCCGTGTTTGCACGCGTAGGGAAGAATTTTTATCGCAATTTTACCAAAATCTACTGCAGTTGGCATTAGCACAAGCGGCTGAATTATTAGCAGCTCTAGCGGATCAATGGCAAGATCTGGATTGCCGATAGCATTATGTACGAAATATAGGCGTAGCTGGTGAACCGCGGATCAGTTGCGGTTAAGTCTGCATCAGCCGCGCAAAAGATCCCATTTAAATCCATGAAACTTTCACACAATACAAATTTCCCGTCGTTCGATAAGTATTGGCGCCACCTCTCGTTAGCGTGCGATCAAACGAAATAAACGAGATTAAAAAGTACCATATAACAAATATCAAATCACGAGCTCTTCGTACTCCACTAATTAAGCGCTTTAATTTGCCTCTTTCCTGTAATTCTCATTCTACCAACAGTGCAGCTTATTTAATTAAGCGGTTCGTTTATTACACCTCATTGGCAACGATTGATAATTGGCTAATTAACTGCATTTCATGCGCGTGAATTTTTTTAAAATTAATTTGATACATGGTCACATGTTTCTTCTGTCTCTCTCATTACGTGATTTTATAAAAAAATATAATAAAAATCATATCAAAAAGAAGAAAAAAGAGAGAGAGAAAGAGAGAAAGAGAGAGAACGAAAGAGATTTCCTTTCAATGTAATGTGACATTAAAGCATTCACTGTAACGTATTATAAAATATATAGAAAAAGAAAAAGGGTACACATTTACCCGATGATTTCTTCTTCGATCTGTATTGAGATGAAAATAATTACTAAGCTCGCGGATGTAGTCAATTTCACGCACAAATATTGGAGAGTTAAAGATATTTGAGGAATAATCTCAGATATTTGAGGAAAATTAGGACATCGTTGAAAAGTGATGAAAATCGTAAATAACCAGTGATAATTGTAGATTCAGTGAACGTATTTAACCTTTATCACACCGATGGGACATCGCCTGGCTGTAGGAGAATGCGCAGGATATTTGCAGCGAAAATATCGCTTCCACGTCATCCTCTCGGGGCATTAAATATAACTGCCAAATCAAGGCGGCGGGTTTTAACTCCATGTGAGATAAAAACTGATGGCATGCCTCGAGCATTATTGCGACGCAAACGGGTAAAACGACATGCTGCTGACGCGTTCTTCGTTTCTTCTCACTTTTGCTTATTTTTATCGAGACTACCATCGTATCGTCGCGAAAATAAATTGGCTATATACTGTTTCCGCTGTAAATGTTTCGTTGCCACGACGAATGGAGACACCGCGAGTTCTCGCGACGAAGTTATTAGCATCGTGAAATATATAACCTGCGCGACACCTTTCGAGCGAATATAAGCGATAAAAAAATACACTTTGTACGTGTCGCTGAAACCCTTAGTTTCCCTCTTTTCGCATCTGTTTAGCATTTTAAGAAATACAATTTACATCGTACTCGTGATATTATGCAACGTTATGTCACAGACGGATATATCGCCTACAGGTGTAACTTGCAACAATATTACTGCAACTGCGGCGCATGCAGCAGCTTCCTTTTTCCTACTGTATTTTATAGTTATACAGTATTTCAGTGAGAGAATTCGGTAGCGCGGGGAATACCGGTTTGTTCGGGATAGTGCAGAATTTGCCATATATTTGTGTGTATCGAATTTCCAGGCGGGAGCATTACTCGAAAGATTGATTGTACCTATTTGGCGAAACCAAATTACACTTCTGCTCGTCTCCCGGCTCCTATCTTACCAGCTGTTCCGCTCTCGTGGTTAGCCCGACTTATTTATGATCGGCATGATAAATAATTAGCTTTCATAATAAAGCAAGGAGTATCGTCTGAGACATCAATAGATCATATTATTCATATTGTTCAAGAATAAAGAAGATTGGGAATAAGGCAAGCGTTGGAAAGCTTGGGGCAAAATTGATTTATCGCAAAAATTTTCTAAATATGTTATGTTATGTTCATTTTGCAGCTCTAAGCGGTTATCTTTGAAATTTAAGAATTGAAATATTCCTTTAAAATATCGCGATGGTACAATACTCACGCTAAAAGGGATTAATGAATTTTTCACGGAAGGTATCATCCATTGTTGGAAAAGTGACATCACAACTTGGCATCCTACGACGACTTCCAATATTCGTTTTATTAGGAACCTGTAAATTATATATTAAATAAATTAAACAAGCGAATAGATATATAATGTAAATCCTATTGTAATATTAAAAAAATTTTTAAATCGTGAATAATGTCATTTAATTTTTAGTGTCGTTTAAAATTCAAGCAAAAATCATATATAAAATTCTAAACTGTATTTTAACAATGATATATATATATATATATGGCTTTAATTAAAAAACGGAGTAACATTTTTGTCCCTTGACATCTAAATGTATATTCCTGCCATGTATATTACGGACGCATAGATTTATCTTTTATCGGATTTATCGGCCGTCCAACCTAATTCACTTCCACGTGATTCTATTACATTGATCATTACACTGGTACACATCTATTTGCTCTCAGAGATTTTATCGATGGCGCAAACCGATTTCCGACTAGCCCCATGAATTTCCATCCCCGTTCTCGTTATCCTCCCACAGCCGCTCTCTCCGACCATAAACCGCTTCTCGAAAAATCGGAAATACGACTTTTGAGTGCTATCGCGTGAAACGACGTTCCTATTCGACGGTACGTCGTCCGCGCGAGTTTCGTTTTCGGCAAACTGCCGGCGACAAGTAAAGTCTTTTCGATGAAAGTAGAAGCTGCACGAAAGACGATGCAGAAAAGGAGAAAGCGTGCGATGAAGACGATAAAAATGCGGCGATATAACTAAAGAAACGAACTTGGAGAAAGATACATCAAGTGTAATGACTCAGTTTGTTAAGTTTGATTCAATTACATATCACATATAGTCTTTTAAAATAATATTTAGAATGAGTAATCAATATTAAATTTAATATGCATTAAACTGTTATTTGTAAAAATATTTATAAATAATAATTTAATGTTAAATTTCTTAAAATATACTATAATAAATTCTTTTTGTTAATTTCCATCTATATTACTTGTAATAATGTACATTATTGTTCAATTTATGCATTAAGACTAGATGTTAGCAAAGCGTCCTTCTAAGAAAATTTATTATCTGCATTTCTGTAATAAAATTATAATTATTCATGAATGTGTCACGTCAATAAATAAATTCGAATTCAGACTTGTCAAACGAGTAGTTCTGAAATAGAATTCCAAGAAAGCTTTGTCTAATTTCAACTCGCACGAATAATTCATGTTGTCGATAAAATCGGACACAGAGCAAGAGTTCTCTTCCTCCTCAAAATTTTTCTTCTCAGAACAGAATTCATTCGCTCGGATCTGAGTTTCGTAAACCGGCGACATTTGTTGACATTCTTTACAAAAAGAAAATAAGACGTGAGAGGGAATTGCGGGGATATGCCATGGCGAAATCTATACGAGAAATCTAAGAGCAAACACGGATTTATACACCTCACGCAATGTATGCGCTCGCGCGATCAAACTCAGACAATATCAAGTTTCCACTTGACTCGTTTTCCGATCGAAGTAAACTTGGTGGTAGTCTTGACATGTGTAAACCGAAACAAAGCTATATTACGCTTCGAAGAAGTATCATATGTAATAAATTTTAAATTTAAGAATACCGAAAAAGATTTTTGCATAATTACTACAAACAACGTCCGTTCAAAATGGATATCAATTTTCAATCGAAATTGATAAGTTTTCGACATATCGCAGTCAATTTCGATATTGCGGTCAACCAGATTGAAGTAATGATTAAAGAAGATATTTCCGTTTCTGGTTCATGATACCAGTACCAATTCCAAAATACATTCATTATTGACAATCTTGTCGCGAAAAGCATGCCAGTTTCCAATAAGAATTGCAAATGTTTCCGTAAATTAAAATATAAAAATCGCGTCTCTCATTCACTCACCTCTTTCGAATCCGTTGCGTTCGAGGAAAATTCAATTCGTAGCATAAAGTAGGCGCCAATATATAGTAATAAAGATCGGCAACATTTAAATTGTCAGGATATTGTACCAACGCGCTCCCGCGATCATTTATGTCGTGTTCCATATCGGTGACATCACTCGCACTCTGTTGAGTGCCGGAAGCTGTAACAGAATGATTACATTTTATTAGGTCGCGTCAATTATATATTATTATTATGATCCTTTCAATAAAAAATTACATAATTTAGAATGCCGAAAATAAAAATATTTTTCAATGTAATATTTTTTACTTTTATTTATTAAGAGAAAATTGCCTTCCATAAATAAATAGTCCACAGTTAGCAAAATATAGATGTAGCAAACAGGTGACATAAAAATTTATTTAGAGAAGCTTCTGCTTCCATAAAAATCACGACATAAGATGTCGACATAGTATTTTACAAAAATAAATGTTCGCCATATTTGATGAAAACGTCTACTTGACACACAATCTGTAAAATTAAAGTAAGAATTTTTAGAGAATTTCTAAGAGTTTTATAATTATATTTTTCTCTTCGTACAATCGGCCTTTTCAAGTCTCTCAAGCTTACTCCTTGAGCAACGAAACTGATTCGCTCGCGCGATCCGCGTTCGGCCGGAAACCTCGGAATTTCTCAGCGTTGCGCTAGGCACGCGGATTCTCATCTGCGCGTCTAATCCCACCCCGACGCGAACCAGTAACTGATAGAATCCCCTCAATTATCCAAATCCGATGAATAATCCAATCTGGAATTCAAATAAGCCCCGGTTGCGCCGGGTGCCGCGTTGCATTGCTGCTCGAACTCGATAGCGCCCTGGACTGGCGTCGCGACGTCCAAGGATTGTGCCGCTAGTCGCAGCCCGCTCTTGTGACGCCGATCGACGTTCATGTCGACGAGCGATCTTTGGCGTCCTTCTGCGAGTCTCGTAATAAATGTAGAAGAATTCGACCAAATTAAATTCCTCGCGCCCTTTTTTACCTTGTCGCGTCTTCCTCTTTCCTCTTTTTCTGAATAGTGAAATAAAGCGTAGATTATTCTTTTTATCCCCCTTTTTTTTATCTTTTGGATCGTTCGGGACCCGTCATCACGCGGAAAGACCGAGTTTCTGTTACGGCAAAATCGTCCGTAAGACATCCGTGATGCACGTCAATTTACGCAATTGTTTACAGAAAACGATAAATTCTTCTCGGGCAATATAAAAGCTCCAAGACGGAGAAGAATTGTAATCGCCGGACAATATATTTCTATATTTCTATATTTATATTATTTGATAATAATTATATATTTATATTTTTACATAAAAATAATTATGAAGCGAGAAAATTACAAGCAACTGTTGAGTGGAGAAAAAAAAAGCATCTTGAACAAAATATATTGCGAATCGCGTACATTTTAAAAATAACGAAATTGCGATGTAATTTTGATGAACCGTCAAATACGTAAAATTAACGAGTGCTCGATCACACGAAAGCACTCGGAAACGCTTTAATGATTCGTTAATATTCCATGTAAATTCGTTTGATCGAGCTTGTGATCTTTAGACCCTCCGCCGGCGGATTATTAATTAAAAACTATTCCCTGCAGCTCGGTTTGCACGAACTGCTTGTATTTATTCGGAGCATTTTCAGTTGATCAATTACTCAGACAATCTGCAATCTGTAATACTCCCGAATCTTTTATCAATTTTCGCATACCCGAAATTACAAATTCTATTAATATTGATTTCTAATTGTGCTAAGTAACAATTATTTAAAAAAAAAACTGTACGTTTGAAATCGTCGGAAATAAAAAAATTACATTTTTAAAATTAAATTTGATTAAATGTTCAATCAATTAAATTCTAGTTTATGTTTTAACCGTATTTTCAAAGTAAATAATCGAGTTTATCTCATTCTTCTCTAGCACCATCTGATTCGTTTGGTTCAGTAATTATGTTAAGAATAGTCAGAATAGTCGACGGGATATTCCAATCTTGAGAAAATGTTCCTTTGTTTATGTCGAAGCAGATTTCGTCTCGACGTTCGTTGACATATTCTTGACGGAGCATGACATTCTCTTACAATGCGACTGGCAGATGACTCAGCTGCATCATAAGGTAACGTCCTTATATATTAGAGCCATACCATTAGTAACAATATATAATACATAGCAATAATTATACATACATATATAAATTAGAATATGAATTGAATAATCGAACATCTTCAATTACTAATCGGATGACTGTCCTCTCTTTCATTTACATTTATTCTTTCGCTACTATAAATATCTTTCATTGCAAGTATAAACATAATAAATAATAAAATATCATATCTGTATTTTTAAATCTCGTTTTAAATTTCTTTTCGATATTTCTCCTCATTTTCTCGTCATTTCTCGTCATCAAAGCTATAAAAGATAATATCAATCAAGAAAGATAAAGAATGTGCAGGAATTTTTTACGTTAACCGAGGGTCAACCTCGCGTTCCGCGATTGCCTAAGATTCGTCTATCTACGCTCTCGGGAGCTCCTTAGTGGCTCCTATCACGTTCGTGGATGGCCACAAAAGGATGGAAAGATCTTAGCCGTCGGAGGGGGTTAAATCTCATGGGGACGCAGCAGGATCGAGCGGGCTTTCGTTCGCGACGGGTGTAATTTCTATTTTTTTCAATCTCGACCCGAGGGCGTCTCGAGGGCCGACGTAATTTCGTCTTTGTGCCAAGGGATGCCTTGCGCTTAAGCCCACTCTCGTTCATATATCTCGAAACTGGCGCGGTGAGCGAAAAAAGGGATCGATATCGAACGGCAGAGAAGTAGCACAAGGACGAAAGAGGCAGCATCCTTACGAGAATGCCGTTCGAACGAGAAGTCTCACAAATTAAGCACCAACGCCAAAGAAGAAGAAGAAGAAGAAGAAGCTTTCGCCAATCGATGCGATTGCCTGCGATCTTTGGTCACGCAATCCTACAGACTCGTAAATTGTCTCGTACCCTCGACATACGTTGATCTAAATTGACATCGCGACACCTATCTTTACTTCCAATTAAGTACACACTAAGTACACACTAAGTACACACTTAAATTAACTATCGATTCTTTTCATTTACTTCAGCTTAAACATTTTCCAAAGATAATACTTACTTAATCAGCCATCATATTAAATATGAAAGTTTAATCATTTAATTATTAAAAGTTTCTACTCAATATATTATTATCAAAACACAAAGATACATTAAAAAAAATTATTCGTTATTGTAAGTGAGCTGTATTTATAACAGTGTGATATGTGTTAAGTAAGATTTAAAGAGAGAGCTCAATCTTTATATAGATGTTACTAAAAAAGGTGTTCTTTGGGGGCAGGCGACAGCCCATGAAAAGCTCCATTTCTTGCATGATCGATCGAGCCGTGACGAACAAAAACGCGAGGGGTGCTCCACCTTCGCGATACATATACGAGGCTACGTTACAGGCTCCGCGATTGGTTCTACGTCGTCATTACGGGACGTAATAATACGACGTGCCATAGGAGTCCGGGTTAGGTGGAGAGGGCGAAAATTACACGGCGTCCGTGCGCGCTAGATTACACGAGCTCGTGGTCGTAATAACGAAGTCCCGAGGCGGGCTTTTGTCGATTGCATTTGTCTATCGATCGATCGGCAGGTCGCCGTCACGTCGCTTCGCGATGAACCTACGAGCGAGTCCGAAGTGTCGCGCGCGAACACGGGCTCTCGATAATTATATCAAACTACATCTACTTTTTATACCGTAATTAGGACGCCCTCTCCCCGGCGAAAGGACGGGGCGGGTCGGTCGGGTGGATAACGGGCTAATTAGCTACGAACGAAACGCTGAACGTGAATACGCCGATGTCCACATCGGAAAATATCCATCTTAATTTTCGGTACGAAACGTAGCGTGAGGTATCCCTGGACGCGCCGGCGAGAATCAAATTTAGAGAGAAGTTGAAAATTGCTCGTTGCCTCGCAGAAAATTCTCGCTTCGATGAAGCGTGAATACCTTGCTTATCGCATACTCGTACTTTTGTAATTGGTGGCATGAGCACATGCACACGCGAGGCCATCCAGAATCGCCCTTTCTCACGTTCAAAAAAGTCTAGTAAACCAATTTTTATTTTTTAAAATGGCTTATAATGAAGTAAGTAAAGAAACAAGAAACACATTTCAAATAATTCCTATGTTAATAATTTAATTATGTTATGTTTGATGATTCCCTTTCAGAGAGATATGTTCGTGCAAAACAAATTTAATTGTATAAATCACCGTGCATTCGTATTCTTGAATGCGATCGGAATCCATAGCGATCGGCGTACGTACCAATCAACTCCGTCACGTCACGGCGCGTAGAACGATTGCGCAATCACGATTAAAAGTGCAAACGCACCGGGCTCGACGCTTTACCCGTCGCTATGGCTGCAGAGGGAGAACGGGAAAAAGGGTTAATATTCCGCATGGTGAGTGAGTTTATTGGGAGAAAGACCGCGCTCTCGTGTAATTTGACTTTGCCGGTCAGGTCTGAATAATCGATATACCACGGCGCGTCCGACACCGGAAACATAGGCACGCCCGATCGGTGGAGTTTAAATTGGGTGAAAATTATTTTCCCCTCTCCTCCATCATGTGCGTACATACTATTATATATACGTATATATAGGTACATGCATGCTTTTACAATGAGACACACACACGCGGAAACGGATCGCACACACGGTATGCGGTACGCCACGACGCTATGTACGCGCCTTCAGGAGCGGGCAAATACCGCGAGTGCAGGATTACCGATTCGTAGGACGTGTTTGCACTATTTGGATGTGTGCATTACCCGCGCGCATATGCACATCGACGCACGCAACGATGAAGATTTACACCGGTCGGCTTTCCATCCGAAGCGGAAATCCATTTGGTATGACTTCGGCGGCGTCGATGAGACGTATTATAGCGTCGTAAAAAAAAATAAAAAGGGAACAATGGCACGCGGCGCGCTACGTAAAAGATCGTCATTCTCGTATACGTCGGAAATGATATATTTTCGTGCTCGGTATTTTTAGTTTTAATAGAGTCATTGCGCGTGCGGATGGTACACATAAAGCAAATCATAAACTGTGAAAATAAACGATGAAAATATCATTCCGTTTATTTCTTCTTCGGGTTTAATATAAAAATAGAATCGCGTATGGCACGTCACGTCGCGTGTGTGCTGCATATTAAATATTGTATTGGTTATTATTTATTACGTGAGACGGATACAGGCAGAAAGTTAAGGTGGAACGTTAATATCGTGCTAATAATAAAGCATTATTATAAAGAGGATACACGTGTGCATTGTTTTATACTTACATTGAAGATTATTATAAGACAGTTGACGTCTCATTCTGCCTTGCGTGGTCTTCTTTCGACTGCTCAAACGGCACCACATGTTCACTTGTACGTACGACCATAACTTCAAGAAGAGTATGGCGTACAGCATACACACATACATTGCGCCAACTGAAACAACATAACATAAAATAGTTAGTATTAAAAGTAAAATATTTTTGGGGTCTCGTAAAGTTAATATTTTTTTATATCTTTTCCTGTTTATATCTTTTCTTGTTTCACGCGTGTATGTTACAAATCTCGCTTAAATTTCAGCGTAATGGTCTCCTTTTTTTTTTCTTGCGGAGATACATGCGGTACCATATAGTCGTCACGATCGATCGCCGACGAGATTTCACACTTCCGCATGCACACGACTGCGTGTATAGTAATCGTAGGTTTCTTCCGCAAAGTCTGCACAAACGGCAGGCGGCGACTTAATTATCGACGAATGTTCTCGCTGCGATCCTGGGAATGCCCGTATTATTATGCGATGCCAGTAACCGCGCCGTTGGAAAACTGCAGACGCCGTGACGAAGGCAACGCCGGCACGATCCTCATATTTTCCGATATTTCCATCGAGAGTGCCGGCGGCCTCCTTCGCGTTCCGGATTGTTCGTATCTTAATTAAATCGCGCCTGCTACCAAGCTATCCCCCGATCCCGCCGACAAGGCGGCGAGATTCCGCACCGGCAAAAGGATATAATTTTAACGGAACGAAACCGTTCCATCTACCCCTTTCTTGCTCTCTTGCGGCGCGCCCGCGTCCTACCTGCGTCCTAACTTTTACCTGCGCCAACGCGCACCGGGATGTCATCGAAAATTTATTATCCGTACTCGCGCTATTAATTCCTTGGGACGCCGGCAGGAAGGTAGATTCGATAAATACACCGCGAGAGAAAATAAAACGTCACGATGACAGATCGACGAGGAGAGAAGTGCACCGTTTCCATTCATTCTGCTGGAATTAGTTTGCGGACTATCGAGCAGGAAAATAACAGATAAACAGCTCGTTGGTTACGTGCACATAACAGTCAGCGGCGATAATGGCGGTGGCGGTGGCAGCGATGGCGCAAATCACAATCGTTGAAGCCATCGAAAGCGACAGACCCCCGCCACAATGTCGACGGCGATAATGGGGAAACGAGAAAGCTCGAAGCAAATATTACATGGCGATGGTATCGTACGTTAATGTATACATGCTCGTCGGCAACGCACGAAAGCGCCAAAGCGTTTCCGCGAAATATGCGCCGATGCGTGTATTTACCGTCCCCGCAGGGCCATGTGCAGTAACATGCTAGCTAAACAGCTCAGGCATACCGTAAGGCGGTGAAAAGGGGGTTGAAATTATCCTCCGGGTATATTCTGACAACGCGAGCGGGTCCTCGCCATTTATAGTTCTTTCCGCTTTTCTCTTTGACGCTTCCCATTGCCCGTCAAAGCCTAACATGTCCTCGTAAAACTTCCGAAAAAAAAAAAATGAAAAACTAAAAACGATAATATAGCAAGTATCCGATTATTATCCGAGTAAAATTATAGGCATCGATATCCGTAAAGTGGGAAACCTTCTAATATGTTAAAGTGTACGCGAACCCTCCGGAGTCCGCCTCGATACTGCTCGACAACTCCTGATGCATTAGATGTTCAACAGTCGAAACGCGTCCCAGGACGCGTTTTAGTGCGCCGCTCGTTGCCGCTTATACCGTTTATGGCTTGTCCTCGCACGAGTATTCGCCCGGGCAAACCGGCGACATCATACACCGCGTATCGATGCTCATACATGCCGAGGTAATTGCCAAATGTCGTGACGTGCATATTCCTCGCATATACGCTCTCTTGCAAAATGACACGAGAGCTTCATCGCATGAGAGACTACAAGCTGACTTAAATAATTCGTAAGAAAGTGGTCCATTATTTATAACCGCACGAAAGATTAGCGATCGATAAATTTATTCAATTTTGAAGAGAAATGCTTCCTGAATTTTTAAAAATTATGAATCTTCCTAACAAGAATACAAAAGTTAAAAAAAAAAAATTAAATCGCTAGATTAATTTTTTAAAGTAAAATCGCTCTATTTAATTTAAAAGGCGATGGACAGTCAGATTGAAGTTGTTCAAAGATTCACCGCTATTCGTTCTGTTTTCGACAGGAGGACATGCTTCTTCGTCCAAAGTGCCGGAATTAAAGTCAGACTCATACAACGGGCCGTTCCACAAAGTTATTTAGTGCAAACGCGACAGATATCCTTCGAGTGTCTCCCGAAAGTTCGATGGAAACGGCAAAAAATTACTTCTCACTCTCCGCGAGGTTATTAAATTCACGTATGTTCCACAAAGTATCGAGGCTGTATTTCACTGGGTGCAAAAAAAATCGACAAAATGTCCTGCCTCGATAACGGCGGACGAAGCTATCGCACCGATACATCCTGCACGGTCGAGGGCGAACCGACGTAGTCGACGTGTATTGTGCTACCATCGGTGCGCGATAGGGGTGGCGGTACCACGCGTGAAAATAGTTCCTCAATTTTCTGCGACAGTTCGTCGAACTGAGAAATTGCCAGTTCTCACCGATGGACCACTGCTGTACTTGGAAACTTACAACTTTCGATCCTGCTCCATCTCATTTTCAATCTTTTTATTCTTCATGAGTATCGTCTCGAGAAGACGTGAAGTAGAAAATTTCAAATTCGACAATTATAAGAATTACGAGAATATATCTAATATGTATACAAGATCCAGAAAAATTTTCTTGAAAAAACTTTAATGTATATTCCGGAGAGACAGTTTTGAAACTTGAAAATATTAAAATTTTAAAGAATAAAATAAAACAAAAACGTATGCTTATACTCATTTCATTATTTTGTATTTCATTATTTTTGACGTTTAAGTTAATATAACAAGATTTATAAAATTATTTTACAAGAATTTTATATTCGATATTCGTTCGCCATGCAAATTTTTAACATTTTTATTTGACACTTGTATTATTTCTCTCTCAACGTACCCCCGCACGTTATGAAATGTTATAGTGAGGTAAGAATTCAGTTCTACAAACGTCATCTGTCTTTGTTTCGCGCTCGCGTTGGCGGAACTTTTTAGACATACCTCGTACGAGGTTAAATTAATGTCAGCTCCCGAACGGACGGAAGAACAAACAGCGAAACACAATTTCCAGCGAGACCGCGCTTGGTATAACATTCCCCGGCGAATTTCATCGTGCACGCTTCCGTGCGCTATCCTGGGCAAGTATAAAAGAAGGAACCAGATCAATGATCAAGACTTCCTTTCACAGAGGAAACACTCGACGACACATTTTCTCGTCTGCCAAGTTCAAGTATCTCGGAGTCCTTCGTTCCGAAGCGCACGTGAAAATAGTTTCTAATCAAAATGCATCGATTTTCCGCATTTTTCGCGTCGTATATATTAAGACGTATCAAGAGAAGAAATAGAAATATAACAGAACAAATTTTTAGATATTTGAAAGTAAAACGTTATCTCAATGATAAACTTGTTATTTCAGCATAAAATTATTGTGACAATACACAGAATGTGGTTAGAAATATGAAAAAGCAGAAAGATACTAGAAATATAAATCCAAAAGGAACGAAAGTTCATTCAAGTATCGGAACGTAAATCGTACCACATTCTTAACACAAAGCGGAAAATGTAAAAATTCCAGATACAAGCATTTTCCGTAAAAGATTTTTACAAATAAAAACCTTTGAGATATTCATTCAAAGTGAATATATTTCAGTTGCTCAGATATAAAATGGAATAAGTTCGAATTTTACAATGTTACAATTTAATATTGCAAAATTAAAACTAAGTTACCCACATAACCAATAAATATTATATAAATATTAAATATTAAATATTAAATTGAAATTTCAATCAGATATATTTAGTATTTACATAAATCAATTGTATACAAATTTTAATTGTAAAATTTATATTGCTTTCTCTATTCTCCCTCCTTCGTTCTCACATTACTTTTGTCTCTTAATACTGCCTGATAATTCCGCCATATTTTAAACGCTATATATCCTGAAAGAGAAACCATTCGATTAAGATCCACTTTTACGTGTCAGTTGAAACGAAGCAATCAACTGGATTGTTTGGCGAATGTGAAAGCGTATGTCATAGACTACGTTCTTCTTGAGGTACATTTGTGATCGTCGATCTAGTTTTCATTCTTTATAGAATCGCGCGTGTATGCCGTGAGCGAGCACAACGAGTGGAAACTACGTGTGAATTTTGGACGCGCGCGCGGTATCAATCTACAGTGAAACTCACCGAAGAATCTTATCGGACCAGATAACTCGCCCTTATCGAGAAATTGTATTTCGTTCTTCGTTTTTCCGCGTAATACATTGATTCCCAATTTGGCCACTATTGCTTCTTAAGGGAAGCTTCTCTTTTACTTTCCTACCCTGGTTTTTCACTCTTCCCCTCCTTTTTCTGAGTCGTATAAAAATATACGAAACCAGAAGACATAAAAATTAATATAAAATTAAAAAAAGTTGTCGATATATTTGCATATTCTCATCACATGATATAACAATTATGACCGAAGTAATTGCCATTGAATCTTTTCCATAAGACGTTGAAAAAAACCTGAAGACTGATCCGATATCTCGGCAAAATTAATTTTCGCTGTTCGTGCATCGACTGGGCGCTGCTAAATAATACAGCTCCCGACTGTTTCTGCAATAAAAAATTGTCTGCGGGAATTCGTAGTATCTGATACGCGATGGGAACGCGGCAGATGAACGAAGACTAGAATTCATTTCCGTGCGACTGCGTATTTTGTGTCGTGGCGCGGAAACCTGTACACGTGAGCGCGCGCGCATCCCATTTCAGAAGCCGATATTCTTTTTCCCATCGATGTAATTCGATTAATTCCTTTGTCAGGCAGTATCGAAGCCCGCGTCGAGACGAACAATGTTACGGCTGCCGCGCGTTTCTGCATCGCGTGCGCGCATTGCACTTGGCGTGACAACACGTGGATGCGGAACTACATAGCGCCCGATACATTTCCGTGCCGGCGCCGGCGTATAAATCGATGCTCTCGGAAAAAAGGAGGCGGGAAGGGGAATGTAAAAAAGAGGATCGAGTCGTCTGCCATGGCGAAA